ATTTTTTTTTATATAGTTGATTGTTTCTGATCATTTTTATAACTTATTCACAGGTATCACCACACAATTTATAAAAGTTAATAGGAGCAGAAAGAAACCATAATAGCAATCACACAGCTGCATCTCAATGATCTAAAATATTAATGAAAAGTTATTTAAATAATTTTTAAAAGTTTACCTCATATCTATTTAAAAAAAAGAGATAAAATCTATTTCCAGACTTTATCTCTATTATTTTTGATAATTACAGTTTTGCAGAGAATGTAATTGTATGAGAACAAAAAAGTATTATTGTATTAGATTTTCTTTTTCACAAAAATGTAGTGATCACAGCAGTCCAGCAGACATTGAGGGTAAGTGACAATTACTAAATGTGCTGGTTATTAAGGAGTGCTTTTTCCGACAGTATTATTAACAAGATGAGTGGAATGAAAGACAGATGAAAGAGATACACAACCAATAGTGTTTAGTCCAGCCTTGAGACATTTGTTAAGAAAAGCACACTCAAGAGATTTGGGTAAAATCAGGTGTGGACTAAATTCACAAGTTAAAATCAACACAGCTAATTGATAAGTTACGATTGCCTACACAAAACGTACTGAATCATGTTCAATTATTATATACAAGACCAAGTCCACTTTTTATAACTCTTCCTGTGCAACCATTTTTTCTCATGATAATCACACTGGGACTTAACGACACAATATGAACACCACATATAATTTCATAATAACCAGCAACCCTGACAGAGAGCCCATAGGTGTCCAGTGTGGTCCCAGTGCTTTTGGGAACCTCCATGTTACCTGGTGATATGATATTAGCAGAATCGCCTTTGGGTTCATGTCCACATTTCAGACTTGTTCCACCACATATTGCAGAGATTCATTATCAGAATCTGATCTAAAGCCGTTCAGGTTTTATGAGACAGATGCTTGAACCCGTTTTCATACTGAGTGTGCTGTTAGTGAGGTTGTTCAGGGCGTGCAACTGTCATAGGCAGGATTGTGTCAGCAGCAATATTTAAGTCACTGAAGTAAAGTCATAGAGACACCCAGGACCTTACAGCAGTGGGTGGTGCTTTCCAGAGATTATTAATGTCACTCTCTTTACCTGTCAGTCATCTTTATGTTGTGGATGATTGCTGACCGTGTCAACCATCGTCTAGATCAGGACACTGCAATCACTATAAATGCTGCTATTAAATGAAATAGTAGCATCAGACGTTCCTTCGCCGAAGACGACTGTACTTTATTTCAAAAAGCTAATTCTGAAAAGTGAAATGTACTAATTGTGCCTCTCTGTTCATGTGTGGTGTGTGTGGTTCAAGGGTTTGTGTGTGTGGATGCTATTGACTCTGTCAGCTGTGTAAGCAGCCAGCAGCAGCCACGCTGAGAGCGCAATATCTCACAGACGACATGCTTACAGGTGCAGCCCAGTTTTACTAAATCTTCCCTTACTGACTGTCCAGCTCAATCCATTACACTGTGAATCTGGCACTTTTTGTTAGGTTTATTCTAAATCTCACACACTTTACTGTATTTAGTTCAAACTCATACTGTTCTCGTAATTACAATCTTTCTTGTTGGTTCTTTTTATTCTTCTGGATCAGTGGTTTCAAATTTTGGAGTCGAGAGACTGGGCATACCTGAGCAGAGTTTGGACACAACACTGCTGGAAAGACATGAGCTACATTTGGTGGTATTCTGAAGGAGGTCTGGTATCAGTGCAAGGCAAGCTAGAAAATTTCAATATAAAACTGTAATACAATGAGATAAGTTATTTTATATATAACATATCTCATTGTATTATATATATATATATATATATACATATAAATTTGGTCATGTAAATAAAATGTGCCATATACAGTCAAATTTAGAGTAAAAACATTGTTTCACCTCTTGCAGATGTTTCGTTGCCCGGTTGACAGCCTCTTCGTATCCGGACTGCCTCAGCTCGCTCAGGCTCTCATAGTACTCATCTGGGTCGTCGTTCTCCGTGAACAGAACCTGCGACAGGATCTTCCACCCGCACGTGTCGAGCGCGTGGCCGAGGTACACCTGTAAGCCGTGGCACAGCTCGTCCATTTCGGTCTCAGACACCCCCGGCGGGCCGAACAGCACCGTCCACACCCCGGCTGGCTCCTCTGGAAACTCCGGCAGGCAGGGCTCCAGGACGGAGTCCACCAAGCAGAGCTGCAGGTGGGCCGCCCGCAGGTCCTGGAAGGAGAAGAGTCCTGCCCAGCTGCAGTCCTCTCTGCTCGGGCTGTCCAGCTCCTCCAGCTCCAGAGAGTCCAACGAAGGAGACAGCTCGTCCTCTCCCAGTATCTCTGCATCCGCCTGAATCTTGACCGGACTCGGTTTGGTCGCTGTGACGGACTTGGTTTTGGGGCTGCATCCTTTACTCGGACTCCGAGACACTTTATCCCTGGTGGGACTCTCGGGCCATCTTGTTTTGTTCCTGTCCAGGCTGGTCGGCTCCGCCAGCGGGTCCCTGCCGAAGCTTCTCCTCTGAACCGTCCTGTCGTGACACGTAATGGCAAATTTCCCCTCCACCTCGTTCCAGGCGACGATAAAAACAAATTTGTGCTTCTCCTTTTCCTCAAACGCGTTGGGGCGGACGGCTACCCATCCCGACTCTAAATTATCCTCCATAGTGAAGGACATTTCTGCCAACTAATTATAAACAGACTTCCAGAAACTGCGGAAAACCCGGAGCGCCGTTAAACGGACAGCATCACAGCGCTGGAACAAAATGAACCGTTTCTCTCCGGGGATACTTGTCTTCCTGCGGGGCTTCCCTCCTTCGTTTGGGCGGATGGATTTGGAGCAGCGCGGTGTCACTTCCCATCTCTGGCCCACCTGCCTCCAACTCGGATGTCTTCCTGTCTGCTTCAGCCTCCTGCGGCCGCTAGCCTTGTTTTTAGCTCCAGACACTCGGCAACAACGGGCGGCGGCGTATTTGTGTTTACCACCAGTCGGACGTTAGAGCCGCCGCAGCCTCCGAGCTGCGTCCCGTTATCCTCAGTCCCTCGGCTCCAGACCTCCCTTCTGATCATAAAGCACCAGCGGGGAGCTGGAAGAGAAGGACACATCGTTCAGAAACACCACGCCGAGGACACGCATGAGCAGGATGAACGCGTTTGCCGAACTGCGTTGTCAGAAAGGCCAGCATCTTCTCCGAACTGACAGCAAGCCCGAGTTATCCCTCATTATTTGCACAGAATGATGCTGCATTAAAGTGCTCTCAGTAATGGACGACTGACTTAAAAGAAATGTTCGTTCATGTACAATACCAAGCCAGAAGTTAGTAGTTTTCTATCGATTTTTTATTTAAAAAAACACACCTGTTCTAATTATGTTGCTATGGTCAAAAGGATCAGTGACAGTGTACGTCTTAAAATTAAATACGGCCTCTGTGGGAAGCATTTGAACGCAACAATGGAATCTCGACGTATCCAGTGCACGTAGACGCGTTGACGTGCTGTATTGGATTTGCAGATCATATTCCCCAACTGGGGTCGGAACAACACTGAGTCATAAAACATTAAGTGAGAGTTCTTCAGTTACTCTCCAAAGAAATAAAATAAAATAAAAAAAATAATTAATGATAATTTATATTAATAACACTGTTGTTTATTATTTGTTAAGGTTTTTGTCTTTCTGCATTCTTATTAACAAGAATTTAATCTTAGCTAGTAAAATATGCAGTCAGTTCAGCTTTTATTGAAAAGGCTGAAGAGTTTTCCATCAAGTTTTGTGTTGAGTCACTGACCTGCAGCATTCACTGCCCCTGTATCAGCATCTATTTTTAACATCTGAGGAAGCATCTGTAACAATAAATAAAGTGGCAACACCAACAGACAGTTTTTCTCTGAAACCCTAAGCAGAGACGAGAGAGACCTTTATATGTCAAACCATTTAAACCATGCAGAGGCCCTGTACATTTGTTTCATTTTTGACACCCAAGAGTTCAATCTGTAGTCATTCTTTTGCTAAGCATTAAAAAAAGTGATGAAGTTGCAAGTTTTTGTCACATTTCAAAGACATTGTTACACAATGTAAAATAAGTGGATGGATATTTTATGTATCCATCCACTTTCTTACACCTTTATCCTGTTAGGGTTGGCAGGGGTACTGGTGTCTATCTCCAGTTGTCAAAGGGCAAGAGGCGGGGTCACCCTGGACAGGTCGCTAGTCCATTGCAGGGCAACACAGAGACAGACAGGACAGAACCCGCGCATATGCAGGGAGAACATGGATATCAACTCCATGTAGAAAGACCCCAGGCCAGGAAGTGAACCCACGATCTTCTTGCTGCAAGGCAACAGTGCTACCAACTGGTGCAGCTATTTTATGTACCGGTAATCATGTTACCGGTACATATTTTAAAAATGTTTCTATGTCAGAAAGATAGAAACGTTAACCCTAGATTGGAGTTAATTTTACAACATGTGTTCTTATCTCTCCAGTCTATAATTCTGACATTGTTTTATCTTTTGTTTAATTCTATTCTTCAGTTTTTACATTTTTGTCATGTTCCAGTTTCAAACCTTTATGTATTTTAGTGATGTTTTCTGTGATAGACTAATACAAAGAGATATATTATTGTGAAGTGGAGGGACAAACGATCCTCCATTTTAATTTTTTTTAATCTAAACAGTGTGGTCTACATTTAAAGGCTTTCTTTTTCTTTCTTTCGATCTTTCTATTGCACTACATGCTGGGGTTGGTGCTGGAGTGTGTGGCGAGTGAACTGAGAGATAAAACTGCTTTTTATCTGTCAGGGCATTTTCTTTCTCTTATTTATGTTCCTGTTAATGTTTAAATTTTAGAGATTGGTATTTTTTTGGGTTATTATATGGATTATACCAGCTTAGGTGTTGTGAAGTGTTTTGAGTGTGGAGATGAGGAAATCGGTATTCTGTCCTAGATAGCCTGCAGAGGGCGCTCTAGGATTTGCTTGAGACTTATCAGAAACAAAACAACACTCACTTCCTGGCGGGATTCAAACAGCAAGCTACTTTAAATGACCACGGGAATTTTAAGATTAAGTAACAAATACGAGAAAGGAGACCTCAGATTTTTATTTATTTATTGCTAATAAAACAAATTATGCTATGATCACAGACACCGAATGAAAACTCGGGGCAGAAATTGTTTGAGGATATAGTTAAAGTGTTGGATTGCTCAAAAGTCCGACGGACCTTGAAGGAGACATCATGCAAACAGAATCCGCGGCGCATTAACTGCGACAAGAGCTGTGTTAGTAGCCTAGATAAACTTTTCACAGCTAGCTCACTTAAAGCGTTTTTTAATAGTATGTAATTAAATTCTTGAAATAACTTCAGTAAAACGTTATTAATTCCTAAGTTGTAATATAATAGCTTGGCATATTGTGAAGCCGAAGTGAGATTTGCTGTCAACTCGGGATACTTGTAAAGTTAAGGTGAGACATTCAAGCTAAAATAACAATAGTTAATCGCAGTAATGATGGTGTCGTCACAAACATTTCATTATGTATAGTCTGTTTTATTTAAAGGATAGTAGTAACGTACGTACTTTTAACCAGTGGTTAATTCTGTGTGAAATAGATTTTGTACACAAGCTTTCTGTACGCTGTAAAACATTTAGTGTGAACAGGACAATTGTACAAATAATTGTATTAGTTTTTTTTGTTGTTGAAAATAAACAGGACATTATCTTCAAGCTTTGCAAACTCAATTGCATTAAAAATAGACCTTAATTCACACTAGAATCATGTCAATGTGACGGAGTTCAGATGCAACACGATATAAAACCATGCCGCTAAGCATCCTGGTAAATCCTTCCCACTCCTTTTCTTGTTCTTTCCATTTTCTTAAGTGCCCTAAAAACTCTGGTTTGTTCAACTCTTGGAGGTTTGACCCAATTCATAAAAAAATAACACAACTCACTCTTACAAGTTTGTCTTTCTCAAACTCACACCTTTTGGTTCAATATCTAAAACTCCCTACATTTATGTGACTTAAAGAGTGGAAGACAGTAAACACAACTAAATGCAGCTCAAACGTTTTACAGTGTACAGACTGAGTTGGTTTGGTTGAGGTTTGTGTCTGGAAAACGTTTTCTGCATCATTACTAAAAATTACAACCACCCGGTTTATTGTTTACTAGCAGGTTCTACTAGAAATGTATTTAAAATCTATTTGCTGATTTAATTTAGATTGTTTTTTTTAATCAGTCTTTGCGGTTGCTGCTGGTTTGACATCCTGCACATGGACAACAGCGGCTCAGATGAGACGACGGGGCAGAATGAGGGTCCAGCTGCTGAGGATTACCCAGCACAGGAAGACACCTCACCAGCAGACATGCTGAGGTTCATGTCCTCTTCTTACCTAATATCTCGAAATTTTTACTCGATTCCAACCTTGCTGATCTTTTCTAATAATTTCAGAATCAAGCAGCAGATGGCGAACCAGTGCTTTGAGATGACTGTGCAGCTCAACGCAGGTATACGACGCATCTTTCTGCGTTATTGAATTGCTTATGTTATCAAGTTCACTGAGAGCTGATTTGAAACTTACCATTGTAGGAAAAAATAAGCGGCCCTGCAGCACATCTCAGGCAGAAAGAGAGCTGTGAGTATTTAAACAAAGCCTCTTTCATTTGGATCTAGAAGTCAAATCAGATTAGGAGGAAACTGAAAATCGCCAACATTTCAGGCCGGACTGCGTCTCGGAGCTTGAACACGTGAAGACGGTCCATTTCAACAGCACCCTGGCTCTGCACAGGTGAGGCTAATCTACCAGCGTTCAGCTTTAAATTGTAGCAAACCTCTGAAGATGATTTGTTTTCATTTTGTTCCTCAGAATACAAATGTGGAACGCTATAGGAGAAAAAATGAAGCAGACGGATCCAGATGCAACGTAAGTACCTTCATAACTTGATGAAATCGCTACTGTTTTGGTCTCCCCCCCCCCCCCAGATGTTTTTGTTTGTTACAAACATCTGCGTTTCTTAGAGACCTGAAGGCTGTGAGTGCTCGCTGCATGGCTCTGTGTTCGCAGATAAAACAGCTCCAGATAGTAAGTTCTGGCTTTCTTAGCAGTTTGATGGCAAAGACTTCCTGAAAAAATGGATTTCATATCTCAGTTTTTCATGCTTTTCAATAGGAGACCAGAAATCTGCAAGATGAAATTACAGAAATGCAGAAGGAGAGACTGGGTATGTTGTGGCATTCATCCATGAATTAATTAATTATTTATTAATTTGTTTATTCAATCATCTGTTTATTCTTATGTTTGTCTATCTGGTCATCTGTCTTTACAAATTGTGATTTTTCACAGGTTCAGTTATTTGCAGAGGTTCATTTTAAGTTTTGCATCATTACCAATGACTTAAAATTTTTGCATAAAGTTTAGAGATTTGAGTTTTAGAAAAGAAAATTGTCAGGAGTTCTCTGGCAGGTTTTACTTGTGTTGCTGACAGGTTACTTCAAATTACGTGTGTGTGTCTAGAGATTAAACGACTCACACATGAAAAAATGAAAGAGACGCAGGAGTTACTGTCCAACAAAGAGCATCCAGACTCAGAAAAGTACAAAGCGGTGCTGGAGAAAGGCCAAGAAAACTTGGAGATTTATAAGAAGATGACCATAATGGCACAGAATGTCCTCAGGGTAAGTTACACACACACACACACACACACACACACACACACACACACACACACACACACACACACACACACACACACACGAAATCGCTTATTAGTAACATCAACATCTAGTTTATGAATCTGTTTCTTTCTCTCCTCAGGGCATCCTGTTGGCGTGTAAAGTTAACTGGCTGGAAGAGCCAAACCTTCGTGAAATTGTAATGACGTTGGAGGACTTTCCTATCTCTGACTAGAAAAATCATTAATTTATCTCAGTTACATGTTTTTTGTTTTGCATTCTTTAATAAAAAAGTCTCAAACCCCGTTTGGTTTCCCTGTTTTTTAAACAGTGTACTCTCGCTCCCACTAGAGGGCAGCAAGGAGATCCCGGACTTTTTGCTATTCCGTCATTGAAGAAGAAGAAAGGAAGACACGTGTGGCCTGAGTGATGTTTAACTCACTCAATATTTAGAAATAATTATAAAAAACACACATGAAACATTTGTGAAGTTCTTTGAACAGAATTAAAGAAGAAAATGCCAAAGGTAAAAGCGGAGAAGAAGAGCAGGCAGCACCAGGATGTTAAAAGCCAAGGTAGGTTTGAGCGAGCAGTAGCTTGTTAGCTTTTGCATGTTAGCAAACATCGGTCTGTCAGCTGTTGCGGCAGCAGGGAGGTTATTGTCAGTGCGGACAGATTTGTGTCAATTTATTGACGGACGCCAAAACATGGCCTGTTGTTTTCTCTCTAGAACTCTAATTGGGATATTTACATGATCGTAATGAAAGCCCCAACGAACTGAGATGTTAATGTTTGTAGGGAGCAGAGTTCTTCGTTTAGTCATGTTGTGAGGACTCTCAGTCACATCTAATCGCGGAGCTGAAGTTTATTGTCGTTTGACAGTTTTAAAGCTCGGATTTCTCGATATCTGAGGTCCTGAAGTTAAATGGCTCGAACCAGAAACACATGGATGTTTGAGCACCTTTTATTTTGTTCTACATTCTCTTAAGTGTGTCCATCTATTAAACTTCCTTTAATCTGTCCACTTGTACATACTGTATGTGTAATAGTCTTTCTGTCCATCTATCAATCCCTCTATTTACTGAGAGGGCGGTTTGTCCTTCCCTTCATCCATCTGTCAGTCACCTTAAAACTGACTGGGACCTCTGTAAATTTGAGTCAGTAACAGTGTAAACATCCTGGTGTGACAGTTGAGTCCTGAACGAGCCCACATTGAAATAAATATTTGGTGTCTGTTGCAGGGATCATGTTCAACACTGGCGTTGGTCAGCACATCTTGAAGAATCCGTTGATCGTCAATGGGATAATTGAGAAGGTATGAGTGTCACAGCAGCCTGGTGGAAGGAAACCACACGCTTCGACTGCGGGGTGTTTTAGCTGCTGAGCAAAATGAATTGAAGCCACAAGTCTGTCTCAATCTGAACATTGAAGGCAGGACTTGGGCTGACACAACGAATCGGCTGCTAGTGTCTGACTTGGGCTATAAAGAATTAGAACTGGACGATTGTTCAGTCGTCCAAAGTTTTATGTTTAGATGAAAATAAAGGTTTCCGTCTGGAGGAAGAGTTGAAAGGGACATAATGTTGGTTGAAATCCATTGTGATGTTTCCGTGGTTCTGGGTGCCATGTCATCTGGTGTTCGTCCACTGTGTTTGCTAAAGTCCACAGTCAATGTAACCATTTTCCAGGAAACTTTTGATCATTTTCACAATACTTGAATTATTTTTTTAGACATACATGCCTGTACGTTATTCAACCATGAGATTATTCTGATTTTGACAGCAACTAAAATTAGTAGCACTGTGTCCCTATCCCTATGTTTGAACCTAGAGCAAATGGATCTAACCAACTGTCTTCATAAACATGCTTCTTTTGTAGTTAATTGGAGGTGATTTATAACACAGCTTATTTTTCAGGCTGCTCTCAGGCCAACAGATGTGGTTCTGGAGGTTGGACCCGGTACGGGTAACATGACGGTGAAACTGCTGGAAAAAGCAAAGAAGGTGAGCATCTGGAGAGTTTTTTCCCACCCTGTTCAGAGGACGAATGTGTAAAATGAATCATATATCAAATACAGCAGTGCACGTTTATGTGCCGTATATGCGATTAAAAGTATGTTTTTTTTTTAGTTCTGTAAAGCTTTTGCTGTCAATACCGATTCCAGACTGTCAGTATATTCATCTTTAAAACCTGTATATAACCTCGGCATGAATCCAGCTGTTCTGTGAAGGCCTCTGAGGTGCGTTGGAGAGCATTAGTGAACAAACTAAGACAGCAGACGGGTCAGGTAGAAAGTCATGGAGAAGTTTAAAGAAGTTAGTTCAGAAAACATCTCGCATAATACTTTCCAGTTCATCATCCAATGTATTTCAAAACTGCAAAGATGCTCACCCACTACACAACATTTTTAAGCCTTTAAGGAGAGCTGAGGTGTGAAACTGTCAATAGTGGAACTATTAGCTATGCGCTCAACGAATTTGACCGACATGCAAAAGGTTTTATGTTGCGATTCTGTGTTAATGACATCATGCCCATAAAATTCCTACTCTGATTTTCTCCTTGTGCAGGTGGTGGCCTGTGAGTTGGACTGCAGACTAGTGGCTGAACTCCAGAAAAGAGTGCAATGCACGTGAGTGAGGACAGCAGTCTGTGCTGAAGTCTACTCTCGGTAGAGTAGAAATTGTCAGATTCATGACCATTATGAGACAAAGAGAAGCTTTGTTTCTTTCGACAGGCCTTTGCAGAACAAACTTCAGATATTAGTCGGTGACGTCTTAAAAACAGATCTCCCTTTCTTCGATGTGTGTGTCGCTAACTTGCCTTATCAGGTAAACACTTTATTTCCTGCTTATGATCCAGATCTTCTTATTCTTATCTCAGTGTAACTTTTGTTACTCGCTTGTGCAGATTTCTTCACCGTTCGTCTTCAAGATGCTGCTTCACCGACCGTTCTTCAGGTGACTGGAAGCTCGCTGAGATGCAGCTGCCTTCTCCACGCCGAGTGTTAAGGTTCCTCTTTGTGTTGTTCTGTGCAGATGTGCTGTTCTAATGTTCCAGAGAGAGTTTGCGATGCGACTGGTTGCCCAACCTGGAGACAAGCTGTACTGCAGGCTGTCCATCAACACACAGCTGCTGGCGCGTGTGGATCACCTCATGAAGGTCAGCTAGGAAACTCTTCAATCAACAGCAACGCTTTTCAATTATTCAATGTATGCAGTGTTGGAAGAATCTGTCGATCCTCCCAGGTGGGGAAAAATAACTTCCGTCCTCCGCCGAAAGTTGAGTCGAGTGTTGTCAGGATTGAGCCGAAAAATCCTCCTCCTCCTGTTAATTTCCAGGTGAGCTCCTACTGCCTCTGGTTGGTTCTTAAGAAAACAAAACACTGGGTCATAGATGCAACCATTTCTTCTGAATGTAACAGGAGTGGGACGGTCTGGTGAGAATCGCCTTCGTGAGGAAGAACAAAACCCTCAGTGCAGCTTTTAAGTGAGTGACAACCTGCTTTAAGAAGAAAACTTGAGCTGGTCGGCCGAAGCGAAGGACCTAACAGGTGTTTTCATTCACCAGGTCCACCGCAGTGGAACAGCTGCTAGAGAAGAACTACAGAATCCACTGCTCATTACACAACATGGTGAGTAATAAAAACGAGTGAAGATGATCCGGTTTCATTTGTTCACCCGGTTCAGAACTCTTTCCTCCATCTTAACAGGAAGTCCCAGCTGACTTCAGCATCAGCAAGAAGATCGAGGGGATTCTGCAGGAGGCGGAGTTCAACGAGAAGAGGGCCAGGTCCATGGATATCGATGACTTCATGGTGTAAGCTGCATGATCCAAATCTGCACTGGATTTTCCTTTTAGGTCCATGATCCAAGATTCCCCTTTAAATTCTGTTGTTTTTATCCTCAGGCTGCTGCACGCGTTCAACTCTGCAGGAATCCACTTTTCTTGAAGAGTTGAGACAGAACTATGAATGGAGATGGAAATAGTCTGACTGATCCAACCTCTTGGCAGACGAGTAATGAATTGTGAATGTTTAGATAAAAACATCATATAGTCAAACAGCTCATATTGAGCACCATTAAAATCATGTATAAGGATATATAGGTTTCTTTTTGTCAGATGGATGTTATTTGGAAGGAAGTGTGCAAGTGTGTTTGGCTGATTGCAGTTTGTAGAGGGTTATGGAAACCACAAGCGTCATTTTCCACAGTGTGAAGTTTTTCAAATAAAATCTGCACCCATCATCTTTTTAAACAAACTAGGGATTTTTTTAATGCTCCCAGAAAATATTATGCAAGGAGTTATATTATTTTAAAGAAGACAAAGATCAAACACACACTGTCTGAAGTTTGATTTGCTCATTGGTGTTGATTATCAAGATATAGAAAAGTGAAAGTACAATATAGAAAATAATTTTTTTTATGTTAAGATACTAAAATTAGAATTGAGGATTGAAATTGTTTTATCCCATTAATCATCCAGTCATTCAAAAACACTTTTGTAGACACATTTCTGGAGATTTGAAGTAGATTTTGTGACCATTTTAAAGTATAAATAAAAATTCAAATGTGAGTTTGCAGTAGATATTTCTACAGGGCAGGTTTTTAAAGGTTTCAGAATACAGCTACTTTCACCCAGTCAAACCTACACACATCCACATGCGGATTGGTAAACAACTCTTGGGTTACAAGTGCCTTGCTTAGGGGCACCGTTGAAGGTGGAAGTCTAATCAACCCTAGAACCTTGAAATTGAAAGATCTCAGACTGAGCCACATTCACTCCTAGTAAATAGTTGCCTAAAGTAGAAAACATACAGATGGTATTCCCAAATATTTGGCAGCGAATACTTCAAATGGACAGTAGGGGGCGAGAGAGTCAAGATTAGAGTGCCGAGTTTGTTCCATTTCCGAATAAAAGTCATGTGAAAGTTGGAAATCTTTTCCAACTCTTTTCAATTGAGTTTAGATGCAAAAAAAAAAAATCTTAAATTATAATTTGCCATAATTTCATTTTCTCATCCAGCTTTGGCAAAAACGATAAAATGTACCCAAACCAAACAAGATGTTGTGCAGCACAGACCACGTTCAGGACCCGTTTTTTTTTTTTAATAAAATGGAAGTTTTGCTCAGTTTATTTGGAGAACATGTCACAGAAAAGTCATTCAAATGAAACAGAATTTTCTTCTCTTTTTTTTCTAACTCCCTCCAGCATTACATCCAGTGCAAAACTGAGAAACACGAACCAGTGGCAGGTCTGTGGCCTTCGCTATACATTTATTAACAGTTCTTCTTAGTTTCTGTAAACA